TGAAGGTAGAAGACAAGGCTATTTACAAGCAAGAAGATGTCATGAATTGTCTAGTTGAATACTATCAGGAAGTATTTCGTCAAAGAGAGGAAGTAGAGCTCAACACCGATACTTACCTCGAAGAGAGAGTTACTAGAGTTTTGTCAGATCAAGAGAAAGAGCTTCTTGAACGTCCAATAGAACTGGAGGAGTTAGAGAAGACGTTAAGGTTATTAAAAGGAAACAAGTCCCCCGGAAGCTCCGGGTTTCAACCTGAATTTTATAAAATTATGTGGCCATACATTAAGTACTGTTTTCTTAATATGTGTCATGAAAGTTTTAAAAATCAGAAACTCCCACCAACGTTGAGAGAAGGAGTTCTGATCCTCATTCCAAAAACTGGAAAACCAAAAAATGATGTTAAAGGGTATCGGCCGATAACTCTATTAAATACCAGTTACAAAATTATTTCGGCTACTATTGCACGGCGTATTAAAAGAGTGTTAACATCGGTTATAGGACCGGAGCAGACTGGATATGTTCCAGGGAGATATATTGGAAGGGCTATCCGACTTGCATATGATGTAATACACAGCGTAAATGAAACTGGCTCGCAAGGATTAATGGTATCACTTGACATGGACAATGCGTTTAACGCTGTTGAATGGCATTGGATTAAAGCGTCTCCAGTAGCTCGTGGTTTCCCCCAAAGCGTTATACAATGGTTTTGCACTTTGTACAACGAATCGTTCTCTCGTCTAACCTATAATGGGCATATTTCGAAACCGATTGTTTTGAGCAGATCGGCAAGGCAAGGGGACCCCATTAGTGGTTACCTATTTATAATTGCCTTGGAACATTTGCTGGATAGAATTCGAGGAAATCAAAATATTAAGGGTATTAAAATAGGTCTGACCGAAATTAAACTGTCAGCTTACGCAGACGACGTTCTCTGTGTGCTAGACGGCGATCCCAACTCACTCAGACAGCTCTTTGCCGAACTTGGCACCTTTGCCAAGTTTTCAGGATTAAAACCAAATATAGAAAAAAACGTCTGCGATGAGGATCGGGAAAACGAGCTCAAACACCTTTGTATATGACGAAATTCCATTGAGAGTGGTCAATACGATTAAACTTCTCGGTGTAGTATTTAGTAACGCATTAACTGACGTGTTAAATGCAAATTACGAGGCGAAAATAGATAAAATGGAAAAACTGCTTCACGAATGGCAAAAAAGAAACTTGACGATAATAGGGAAAATAACAGTTTTGAAAGCACTTGCGCTTTCACAATTAACGTACTGCTTGACATCGCTGCCTCAACCAAGTGATGAAATGATCACACGTATAGCTAGCTTGATGTTTAAGTTTATCTGGAATGGAAAACGTAGCAGAATCAAACGAGAAGCACTGATGCAACCACTTGCTTGCGGTGGCCAAAGCATGACTAATACTAGAATGTTTATAGTGTCCTTGAAAATAGCGTGGGTTAAGCGATATTTTACAACTACACACCCTTGGACGACGTATATTGCTGACCACGTACTTTCTTTAAGCGAGACCAACTGTGTGTGGGACAAAGGAAGTGCTTTCGTCAAACAGCTTGGTGAAAGGGTAGCTAACCAATTTTGGAAGGAAGAGCTTAGAAGTTGGGCCATGTATGTAAACACTTTTAGGTTAGAGGATTTGGAAATGGGTTGTATTTCACTTTGGAAGTCTGATTATACGAAATATAAAACTTCTGAAATCAAACAGTGGGTAGGTACGCAGTGGAGTCATGCACTTTAATGACCTTCGAAAACCTTCCGGGGAGTTAATGTCATACAGTGAGGCCAAAAACATTTACAAAATAGAGGGCACCTTTCTGGATTACGAAGGCCTGATAAACAGCTTACCGAGAGAATACAAAACGATGCGAGAAAAAAAAATAGAAACACCTTGCATTCCAAATCAGATTGATTACTTATTTAAAGCAAAGTCAGGAGCAAGGCATATTTATGATCGCCTTATAAGGAGCAGACAGGTGTTGCAAGCATTGGGAATGCAAGTGGACCCAGTATTACGGTGAAGTGAATTGGCCCTTCAATTGGTGAATTGACTTATCAAATGGTGTGGTCTGCAACCCACTCATCCTATTACAGAGCCCTACACTACAAAATAATTACATTTACAGCTGTCACAAACAAGCTCCTTTACAAAATGGGTATAACGGAAACAAACTTATGCGAAAGGTGTAGAGAAGATCCAGAAACTTTGAGACACAAGTATTGGATGTGTGAATCTGTTACAAACTTTTGGAGGCAAATCGAGAACTGGATGAATCTTCAGTTACGTGAACACCCAAGGGTGAAACTTAAAACAAAACGTAATGCTGGGACTGAGGGATTCTGGCCAACTTTGGAACCATGCAATAATCGTCGGCAAATATGTAATTCTGCGTGCGAAAATTATAAACATTACGCATTTTATCGCCAGAATGCACGCAGATTTCAGAACAGAGCGATTGGCAGCCTCAATGGTCGGTACCTTTACAAATCGAGAAGAAATGGGGACCATTGGTCCGGTTCTTCGGACAGGACCACGGCAGTAGCGTTTGAGTGACGTAAACCTTAGAGGCGACTTGGTAGGCACTGAAAGTGAGTTTGCGCACAGGCTTGATGCGTGATAACTGTCTGAATTGAATAGTGTTACTGTATGGATGGTGCTTCGTGCTGTGGTGTTATCGTGAATAAAAATCAGTCATATGGGAAAAAAAGTTACAATGTGTAAATATTGCTTGCGCTAAAAGTACCATGAAATCATGGGCGATTTATCGGTGTTCCTCAGGTCGTACGTTTGATGCACCTTAGGCAGATGGCGGTAAGTTTTTAGGATGCATCACATCACCTGTTTTTTGGGGCCTTGGCATCACAATCATCGGTATACCTACGTTGAGATTTGACGAGGTGGGTATCATCGGGATTCTGAGACATCGGGTTACACAATTGTCACTACCGCTAACAATATATAATGTCTTCATGTAAAATGTGATCAGCCCATAAGTAAAACGATAGTTACGATAGATTTGGTTGCAAAATTTTTTATAACTTCAACCATGTTAAGCTGCAGGTAGGGGTGCTTTTCGTATAACTTAAATTGTGTTTTTTTCTGTATTTCTCATTTAATGCCGAATTTCTTTCAAAAAATTTCAGAATTTTTAAAAACCCTTTCCATGGAATTCATTGTTCAATTCCACATCAGCTTGAGCAAAAATTGATCAAAAATATCAAACGGTTTTAATTTTACGGCAATTTTACTGAGCCACTGCCGTACTGTCTCAAATAGCCCCACTGTCTCAAATAGTCCCACTTTACGGTACTCCAAGCAGTTGACAGGTTTTAGTGCAATGCAAAGTCGGAACCGTCCCGCGCCGGCAGTCTCAGGCGGCGCGTAACGGCCGCCGCGCCGCCGCGCCGCTCTGGCAGGGTGTTTGACTTTATACCTACCCCTGTTGTTTGAAAAGTTGTGGACCGATTTACTTGATTCTTGCATGACAAGATCCGCCATTCACTTCTTAGCAGGTACCGAAAATTTGACGTCAATTGCACGATCCGCCACCCATATTGCGGTGCTGCCATCTATTGACAAGGCTGGAGAATTAAAGCCGTGCGCTTCCACTTCTGACACACCACTGACCTGACTTCTGACCCCACTGACCCCGCTCCATGTCGCTGCCGCGCTGGGCGGCGGCGTGGCGGTGGAAACCGGTTCTAGCCTCTACACATGCCACCACTCTAACCCTCCCCTCCCCACGCTACTACGCGGCGTGGAGTACGCTCGTGCGTAACTGGGCGGAGCAAAGGGTCACCGATACAGGGGCGGACTGGTTACCCTCCCGCTCGCCGAGCGACCAATTATTAAATCACTGGAGAGCTGTACGGTACGTGTGCGTGTTAAAGGTAGTGTGCCACCTTTGAAAGATTTCCCGTTTTATTTTTCCTAGGATAAGAAGCTTCTGTTTTTACCTAATATCGCAAAAAAAATCAAAAATGGGCCTGGAATAGTGCCTTTTTCGCCTAAAAGTTTATCGGTTTTTATATATGTATAACAACTGTAGTGGGCTCACCTGCAAACAGGCGTCGGGCAACAATCGCGAATGCGGCGCACTTGTGACAATAAGCAAAGGTCATTATAGTGTTACGACCATACGACGTACGGGAATGAGTTATCAGCTGTCTAATCGTAGACAACACAATGTCGAGCCTTAAACTGTAAGCCTGTATTGGTATTGTTTCTTAAATTTGGCTGTCGAACATTAATTTGTGGTTTGAAATATGATTTTATGTAAAATAATTGATATGAAACAGCCGTCTCTTAAGTTATGACCCCATTACACCACACGCAAGTGGCAGAAATGACAATGATCAGCTGACGCATTTTTCTTGGCCGAAGTCAGAGCGCGCGGCCCGACGCACCACGCGTATTTGGAAATTCCGACCTCGACGAGCATCAGAAGCCACCTAACAGGCGTGTTCGAAACCGCAGGAGATGATGATGAACGGGTTTATCGAAACTTGATTGGATGAGCCTATCGGTAATAGCGATTTTAGTGTGTGCATTTATTGTTCATAGTGGTGTGAAATGTGGTTGGGGTACGACCGACAACCCGTCGGGGCGAATTTCGCACTGGGGTACTCAAAATTTGAAGAATTTAAGACGTTTCCATAAGTTTTGAAGGTACGGATAAGTTCTAAAAATCCGGTTCTCCTTATCCGGGTCATTAACTCCATATGGTCCAAGAAAGCTGGCACACTACCTTTAAATGCTGTGTTTAATGCTGTGGGCAGCCGAGCAGGGTGTGTTCCAGCAGTGTCCGTTTCCTCGTCATTGGCCATTGCATGTGCGTGAGCTTTTGCGTGCGTGTGGCGTGTTCTGCTGCGTCTCGTGAGACTTTCTAGTCAGTGTGTAAGAGTCCTAAGTTAGACGGCGGCGTGTTCTGCTGCGTCTGGTGACGTTTGTTCGTATGTGTGTGTGTCGGCCAGACGGCGGCGTTTCGTGGCACCTCCATGCGGCTGCGGGTGCTGCTGTGCGCCAGCTCGGCGGTACCGGCGCACGTCGTCACTCAGTTGCACGACCGGCTGCAGACCAGTCTGCGAGAGATGCGCATCCGCGGCCAGATCGTAGTGCGGGTGCTGGATGAGATGCGCCAGCAGGTGACCAGCGTGGAGGACGCCTCGGACCAGTATCTGACCAGGTGAGTGTCAGCGGGGCCTTTAGCCCTTACCCTCAGTAAAGACGTCTGCTGGTGAACTGCATGTATTGGCGTCAGATACAGGACTTTATATATGATGAGACACACGTCCTACGTTTACGAAAGTAGGACGCGGGCCGACACGCGTGAATGTAGGACGCAGGGCGGCCGGCTGGGCGCTGCAAAGTGTAGCGTCAATCAACTTTATTATTGTACATGCGAGCGGGCCGGGCCGCCCCGTCCATCACACGGTAAGCGTAGCGAATAGGATTTTGCAAGGTTCAATTATGACTGTAGTGTAAGCTGTGAGGGTGCAGGATGGAGTAAGGCTGTGCGAGATGAGCCAGGAGCGTGCCACCGGACCCAACACTGTTCCACTCAGCCGTCAGGCTACATGTTGTTGTTGTTGTTGTTGTTGTTGTTGTTGTTGTTGTTGTTGTTGTTGTTTTCCTGTGAGTTGTCTCAAATGGTTGATTCTGGGCCTCGTCTTTGTTCGTAGACGGCGGCAGTGCGGCCCGAAGTGCATGAGTCTGTCAAGTGTGACGCCTAGTAGGTGGAGAGTCTCCGGTACCTCAGCCGTGTTCTCGGCTACCTTGACGCGGCAGAGTTGGGTTTTCTCGCCCTCGCTTGGTTTTGCGAGCCCATCCTGTCAGCGCGTCGGCAGCCTGTTGGGCTCTCTCCTTCGTCACTTCAATGGTGTTACCCACGAAGAGCACCGCCGTGTCATCCGCGTACATGTAGAGTGAGCAATGTGCATCCGGGGATCTTCTTGATAGCCGCCACCAGCGGCGGCGCCGCCCATAACACAAACAAGCTGGGCGACAGCACGCTGCCCTGGGGTAGTCTGGCGCGGAATATCCTCTCACCGGAGAGAGCCCCGCAGACCTCCGTTCTTGTCCTGGAGTCCCTCAGCCACTGCCACACCGAGCGGACGAGACACAGCGGCAGTCCCTGCTCGGTCAGGCTGAGCCGGAGGAGGCGGTGGTCCACAACATCATACGCTCTGAAAAATTCGAAGGCCACGAGGATGTATTTCTGTGCCACGCTTCCGTCAGGCCGCCGTTTTCTCATCGACCGCCGGTCGCTGCCATCCGTCTAGCACTTCTTGGACGAGGCGGCCGTTGTCAGGCCAGAATGCTGCCCAACTGGACAGACTGGTGTTGGCTTTTACCTGCCCTATCCGTACTGCTGGCTATTAGTCCGTACTGACCACTGTCCGTACTGACCACTGTCCGTACTGACCAGTGTCCGTACTGACCGCTGTCCGTACTGACCGCTGTCCGTACTGACCATTGTCCGTACTGACCAGTGTCCACCGCTCGCCGCCAGCATCAACCGCCGCATTCGGAGCGAGTCGGCGGCCACGGCTATCACGTACCTGTACCTGCCGCGGCCTGCGTCAGACGGCGGCGCCGACAGCCGCTACCTGCGCCACCTGAGCGCGCTCACCGACCGGCTGCCGCCCTGTGTGCTCGTACACGGAGTGAGCCGCGTCACCACGACAGCGCTCTGAGAGCCACCGCGTCCGTCCGTCCGCAGCCAGCCGGCCGGACCAATCGGTCAGCCGAGCGGCGGCCGCAGCGGCGCAGCGGCGGCCGGCCAATGGCCTCCCTCCTGGACACGGCAGTGACAGATTATTGGGATACCGGCACCACACCGAATACCAATCAAAACATTACGAAAAAGATTCGGGATATTGAAAAAAAATCCATTTTTTACCGAATTTATTAATAGCATTTGATACATTAGTTAATGATGATTCATAAAACTAACGAGAAACCAAAAACATGTGTGTGAAATACCACATACCTGACTGGTATCGGTTAACCCGCGCCCCGTACGGCTGTCGTTGGACCCTGCCACCCGAATGGGGGGAGGGGTCGTTTCGGCCCACCTCCCCCTAAGATCTCGAAAAGTTACCGGCCGATTTTCAAAATACAAACGGCGTTCGATAGCCGCACCGAGGAACTAACTACCTGGTGACCAAATTTCATTGACCTCGGTCCAACCGATGACGTTACAGGTCAGGTCAAAGGTGGAACTTTCACCGTTCACAGGCATTTCAAGAAATGTGTTGTAAAATCGAGGAAAAGGCATGTTATTGAAAATCATCGATAAAGAATTGTCCGCCAAACACATACCGTAAACGGGGGTGACTTTGCCTCGCCGGGTGACTTTGCCATGCTTCTCGAAAAATGCTTTAGGGAGATCTCGCATGATATTTTATGAGGAATGTAGTAATGTTTTATGCACAAATGAAAGGTAATTGATGGGCCTCCCAATATAACTAACACTGTTAAGTAAGTTACCACTAAATACCTAACTGGGCTCCATTTTATTGGAGTCATTGAAATGGTCAAATTTGAAGAGTTCCAAACTTTTTATTATCTAACCATGTCAGACCACCTGCGATGCTGAAGCTTGGTATGGTTGATCATGACAAGGCTGTTAAGTTAGCATATCCAACAAAACTGGCATTTGTCACTTCATTTAGCTAAAATTTTTGGTGGCGATTTTTCCAAGTGAATAGCAGGCCACATGGGGTGACTTTGCCACCATGTTATTTATGCAAAAATTGAATGCTTATCCGATGCAATTCAAAATAATTTTTAAGGTAGCATCATTTTGACCTCCAAACTGGTTTTTAAAAAAGTGATAGTTTATACGTTTAAAATGAGCACAGGAATGCACATTGGGAGTATAGAAAGGCAAAAATTACCAAACTAAAAAATGGATGAAGCTGGGCCCAACTTTTCAGCACAGTCATGATCATCTACAACTCCTGAGTTTGCCAGTAAGACTAGCTGAAGAAATCTGTATCATTTTATAGATCAAGACGCTGATAATAAGGGTGCCGGTAAGTTGCCGCAAGAACGTCTTCTTTCTGTTCCTCTCAATGCCACTGCAGGAATGTGGCACGGTCCTAGAGTACCGATACAATCATATTTTTGCTTATTTATCTATTCTTAACCATTTTTCAGTTTCTATTTACTATCATTGTCAATAATTTTCAACAAATGTAATGTATTATAAAAGTAATGTATCTCTCCTTTTACATATGTACATCATTTAAGAGCAAAAAACTTTGAATTGCTTCATTTTTTCCTATTAAACAATTAAAGATGGTTGCCCTCCCCCATACAATGGAACAAAACTGCTTAAACATTATTTGTAAGCGTTAAACAACCATTTTTTGACATAGTGGCAAAGTCACCCCTTTTTCAGTTTAACTTTGCCACGACTCATTTTCTTAAAAAAATTATGCTTTTAGGCAAGATATAGATACGATAATAGCAAAACCAAAAGAGCTAATCTTCATACGTGTTTTGAACATAGAGTCATTCCAACAAGTTAAGAAGTGTAAAGAACACAAGCGTCTAAAATTGAAAACATGGCAAAGTCACCCCCGTTTACGGTATTTTGCTATTTGAGTTCACTGATAATAGGCCAGGTCACTGAGGTCAGGTCACTGAGGGTCACAATACGGAAGTGTCGTGTGATGCATGTTTTATGGTCCATTTTACATGACAAATGCGATTATGTGGGTCAGGCAACCTATGGGGCCAGTTAAGGTTATGTTCTGGTGAAGATCAGGTCAAATTTCAAAGTTGATGTTTTGCATAAACTGGGTATCGATTCGATGCAGCTCGTCACGGGGAGTCTAATGGTGGTCTTTGTTTTGCGCCACGTGGTCTAGAATTGCTAAAAATTGAGTTTGGAAATTTGACATCAATTTTGAAGTGTTTCTGCTATAACTTAGCCAAAAAAAGGTATCGATCTCAAATTTAGTAGGTGTATGGATGGAAGACTGTAGGGACTATCATGTGCAGACAGGTGTAGGAACGTTTTCGAAAGTGGGGGGGGGGGGCAGGCTCCCAGAGGCACAAAACCTCACCTACCCCCAAAATCCAATTTCTCCTCGGATTTCGGCCACTTCATTTTCGCAAACATGCTCAGAGGTAAAAAAGTGACAAGAAAAAAAATCGACCAAAATCTCAGGGAGACTCCCGTCCAGATATTAAATCTCATGGACGCGTCCCCCTGGCCTCCGCAGCCGCGTTGGCACCAGGAGCGGATCCAGGAAAACTCCAAGGGGAGGGTCATGAATCGAAGTAGTGCCCCTACCTATACCCAAAATTAAAACCTCAACGGATTTCGGCCACTTAATTTTGGTGGTGCCCTATTTTCATTTTTTTATTTTATTTTTTTTTTTTGCCCTGGCAGGCCTGTGGTGCCCCTGCTAGGCCGCAGGTGCCCCTGGCAGGTTTGTGGTGCCCCTGGAAGGACTGTGGTGCTTCTTACGAGCCTGGAGTGCCAGCGACAGGCCCATGGTGCCTCTGCGATGCCGGTGGTGCCCCTGCGAGGCCGTGGTGCCCCTGCTAGGCCGCTGGTGCCCCTGGGCCCTGACAGGACTGTGGTGCTCCTGACAAGCCTGAAGTGTCCCCGACAGGCACGTGATACCCCTGACAGTCCCAGGGTGTCCCTGCGAGGCCAGTGAGTGCCCCTGGCAAGCCTGTAGTGCCCCTGGCAGACCTGTGGTGCCCCTGCTAGGCTTCTGGTGCCCCTGACAGGCCTGTGGTGCTCCTGAAAGGACTGTGGTGCCCCTGGGCCCTGTCAAGCCTGAGGTGCCCGTGACAGGTCCGTGGTGCCCTTGACAGGCCCAAGGTGCCCCTGCGAGCCCGGTGGTGCCCCTGGAAGGCCTTTGGTGCCCCTGGAAGACCTGTGGTCCCCCGGACAGGTCTGTGGTGCCCCTGGCAGACCTGTGGTGCTCTTGCTAGGCCGATGTTGCTCCTGACAGGCCGGTGGTGCCCCTGTCAGGTCTGTGGTGCCCCTGATAGGTCGGTGGTGCCCCTGGTAGGCCTATGGTGCCCCCGGGCCCCAAGGGGGCATGACCCATGTGACCCCACCTTGGATCCGCCACTGGTTGGCACCCATGCGAATTCCAGAAGCATCCAAAAACATTTTTTATTACGAGCGAACGTGAAACGTGAGAAGTAAACAGTCAGCAAAAGGTGTGTGTGAGTGTGTGGGAGGGGGCAGTTAACATTGCTGGCCCCCCAGTCGAAAGTGGGGGACCATGGCCCCCTGCCCCCTGTTCCTACGCCTATGCCAGTAACCGATCAACTAATGCAAGGCCGCCTAACATAAATTGTTAGCTTACGCCGTTTACGCATTCTGCTGAGCCAGTATTTGCTGCTCTTTGCAGCGCGCGCTGCCCCTAAGCTGCCACTTATTGCTTCTGACAAAATTTCCTTTCATTGGGTGGAGGAAAATTGCACTCAATAACAGTGAAGCACAAATGGAAATCGTCATGGAAGGGCAGGCCGGAGAACCGTCAAGTTTGTTCTTCGGGGTGGTACCTACAAATGCATTAATGTTCGGCAAAAAGTGGGGGGGGGGGCAGTTAACATTACTGGCCCCCACTATGAAAAGTGGGGGGGGGCACCGGCCCCCCGTCCCCCCTTGTTTCTACACCTATGGCTCGGAGTCAGAGACTTGGTCCCAGCCACGTCTCAGTCAGCGCGATCACATCATAAGCGGCAAGCTCTCCAACCTGAGAGCTTCCCACTTCCCAGCTTATTCTTAACGCTGCACACATTCTGTTGGAAGACACAAAGTGACCGCAGCTTGTCCGCCGACCTCGGGTTGACCTCAACATCACCCGAGACGAGCAGACTAATTAACAGCAGCCAGCAGCAGCCGGCCGGCTTGTTCCAAACATTTAAAGAAAAAAAACATTTTAAAGATCCGAGATAGCACTTTCATAGCCCTGCTAATTGTACACCTTTGGTCTTCAACGTTTTTTCATTATCTTTAACCTTCCAGGCGGAGGGGGGCATTTTTTGCCCCCCCCCCTTTAGTTTTTTTCGATATATCTCCAGAACCGCTGTGCCGATCGTCACCAAACTTTCAGTACCCTCCGTGAATGGCTTTTACACATTGTGACCAAAAAAAATCCAAAGGCTTTGATAGGTTGGCCGCTAATGACGTCAGAGTGAGTGACGTCATTTCTGCCATTTTCGACCCAAGAAATGGTTTCGCGGGAAGAGCTGTCAGGCCTACAGCTTTAGAGATACATAAAAATGCTTCAGACATAAAAGGTGTAGAATTAACAGGGCTACAAAACTGCTATCTCGGATTTTTGAAATTTCTGGATTTTGATCCCCAAAAATCAAAACAGATTTTTTTTAAATATCATAGCCGAAAAAATCCAAACACTTTTTTGAATTTCGAAAAACCGGAATATATGTGATATTCCCTACCGCTTTCTATCCACATAACAAATTTGAGATCGATACCTCTTTTTGGCGAAGTTATAGCGAAAAAAATGTTCAAAATTGATGCCGTCAAATTTTCAAACTCAATTTTTAGCAATTCTAGACCACGTAGCGCACAACAAAGACCACCATTAGACTCCCCGTGAAGAGCTGCATCGAATCAATGCCCATCTTTTGCAAAACTATCAACTTTGAAATTTGACCTTTTTTGACCTGACCTTGACCTGACCTCGACCAAAAAGTGACTGGCAAAAAGTATTATATAAACCGTACCTGATGGTCTTATAACCAACACCATTGAGTTGGAAATGAAAATTGGCCATAAAACATGCACCGCACAACCTTGGTAAAGTTGGGTTCATGTGCTTAGTGACCTGACCTGTGACCTGACCTGGTATTATCAGTGACCTCTAATAGCAACATTTGTACTAGGCAACTGACGCCCTATCGCTGATTTTCGACAAAATGCGTTTTACTCGATGTTATAACGCATGTCCTAGAAGACCGGTGAACGGTGAAACATTTTATCTTTGACCTGACCTCTGACGTCATCGGTGACCTCGAGGTCAATGAAATTTGTTTTTTTTTTCGACAAATTTGACGGGGCTATCGAATGCCGTTTGAATTTTTCGGATCCGTCCAGTAGTTTCGGAGATACGGGGGGGGCGAAAAAATGCCCCCCCCCCCCCACCGCGCGGAAAGTGACCGGCAGGCCCACCGCCTGCCGGGTTAAAGCTGTAGGGTTGACAGCTCTTCCCGCGAAACCTTTTTTGTGTCGAAAATGGCAGAACATGATGTTATTCTGACGTCATTTGCGGCCAACCTATCAAAGCCTCTGGAAAATATATTTGTCACAATGTGTAAAATTGATGCCCGGAGGGGTCCTGAAAGTTTGGTAACGATATAGACAGTCGTTTAGGAGATATCTACGGAAAAGGATAGGGGGCCGTTTCGGACCCTCCCCAATACGGGGCGCGGGCTGCATCGGTTTACCAGCAGTTGGTAACCGATTTACATCTCTCTTCTTTTCCTGTAAACATCTGAGTTTGCGTCCAGTCCGAGTCTGCCCGCGGGCATTCCCGATAGACTGTGGCGCCGGGCCGCGGCGACCGACCGAGCGGGCCAGCCGGCCCGGCGTACCGCTCGGTCTGCTGCGTCGGCTGAGTGGAATGGTTTCCTTTCTAGTATTGAGCGCAGTGGTAGAATATGACCACGTAGAGTGCCTTAGACCTGCTAGTTGTGTGGCGCTGGCCGGCGCTGCTCTGATGGGCCGCTCCCTCCCGCCCCCGTCGTGTATAGGGCAGGGGATAGTGTATGTGTTACAGTTAGTATGCGAAATCCGTTAAGTTGCAACGTAACTAGTTACGTTGCAAACTACCTGACCGGTCAGGTAGTTTGCAACCTAACTAGTTACGTTGCAAACTAACTGACCGTTCAGTTACTTTGCAAACTAACTAGTTAGGATGCAAACTACCTAGGTACGTTGCAACGGAACTGGTCATGGTGCGAAATGGACGGCTCAGTGGCAATAATTGTACATCAATTCCAATGTTCAGTCGCGGGTTGCTAGCACAAAGTTCTGTGATTGTCCCAAGGGTTGCGCTCAACGTTTCTATTGGTTTAATCCGCGCCGGGCCGGTGCTTGGCGCCAACTGCACCAGGCCAAGAGTATTTGAAAAACCCCTCTAACTTGCCCCCTGAGCCAGGTAGCGACTCGCGGTGAGCGGCATCCGAAAGAGCGTCAAAGATCATCCTAGAAGCACTCGGCCATTTCTCAGGTCAGTTCGAAAATCGAGTCAACGAATGTCATCAAAGGTCAAATTTTGTCAATTTCAACATTTCAACAATTTCAACAATTTCAACATTGTTTTCAGATTCAGCCTTTGAACAAACCCGAGAAATGACCGAGTGCTTCCTTGATGATCTTTGACGCTCTTTCAAATACCCGGTCACCGCGAGTCGCTACCTGGCTCAGGGGCCAAGTTAGAGGGGGTTTTCAAATACCCTTGGCCTGGTGCAGTTGGCGCCAAGCACCGGCCCGGCGCGGATTAAACCAATAGAAACGTTGAGCGCAACCCTTGGGATGATCACAGAACTTTGTGCTAGCAACCCGCGACTGAACATTGGAATTGATGTACAATTATTGCCACTGAGCCGTCCATTTCGCATCATAACTAGTTCCGTTGCAACGTACCTAGGTAGTTTGCATCCTAATTAGTTTGCAAAGTAACTGAACGGTCAGTTAGTTTGCAACGTAACTATAGTTCGTTTTTTTTAAGTTTGACCTTCACTGTAAACGTCTTTTTGAACATAGCACGAGAATTGCTAGCTGAATTACTGAGAAAACTGGTTGGCGCACACTGATTTAACCAGATTTCACAGACGATCAATTTCATCAAATTTATTTACTATTTCACAGACTCGTAAATCGTATCTGCCAATACCTACAGCCTCACAGGGATAGACGACTTCTCAGGACTTATGTCTGAACTAATAAATAAATTGCACGGCGCTTAACATAACGTTAAATCGTCGATGTTCAAAACTTATTTTTGAAAATATTATTCATATCTACAATACAATGTGCGCTTACCAGTTTTCTCAGTAATTCAGCTAGCAATTCTCGTGCTGTGTTCAAAGAGACGTTTACAGTGAGGGGCAAACTTAAGAAAAACGGACTATAGTTAAGTTGCAAACTACCTGGCCGGTCAGGTAGTTTGCAACGTAACTAGTTACGTTGCAACCTAACGGATTTCGCATACTAACTGTAACATATGCATGGCCTTACTTGCTGAGCTGTCCGTCCCCGACCGGCAACAGCGGGATGGTGAGAGATGGCGGCGGCTCGGGAAGCCGATACCGCACCACCAGTGTGGGCCTGCCGCTGGCGCCACTCTGCTGGTAGAGCGTGCGCGCGGACGGACCAATGAACACCGTTCATGAGCCAGTTTTATCCGGTTAAAAAAAAACGTCCGGCATCGTCAGGTGCTGGCTCGGCTGCTTCCTCCCCGATTATTAGCCTCCTGTTTAGCCACCTTATAGCTGCTGTTTCTGAGCCCCCTGTTTAGTCAATTTATAGCTGCTGTTTCTGTTCCCTTCGCACGCCGTATTACTGACATTTCATGGATTGTACGCTTTGGTTAGCTGGGTGTATTTTTACTATATTTACTGTTTTATTCCAATACACAGAGCTTTAACCTGTCACTGTTTTATATCAATGTTATCAGTGCGGCCAGTGCTCTAAGGTTCGTTGATGGATTGACTCACGTTCGGCTGGGGGAACACCCCCTCCCCTCCCCCTCCCCCTGCAGTTTTTCGCAAATATCTAAAAAAAAAACGTTGGCGCGGAATGCTGCCAGTTTTCCACACCTCATTATACAACTTTTCCGCATATACTGTGAAAATTTGGACAAGGTCAGGTCACTCAAGGTCACCAGGTCACGGCAAACGACATGAGACGAACAAGTATTTGAAAATGATGAAAAAGTGGCTTGTATTGTATACGTTTTGCAAAGAGGAAAGTGAGACGCTGTACCATATGTTTTGGTGCTGTCCTGTAGTTAAATCCTTTATCGAAAGTGTGCAATCAGGTTTCGTGAGCGAATAGCGCAACATGCTAAATATAGCAAACATGTTTTTTCTAACAAATTTAAAGACTTGGGAAATAATGGTTATCACATTAATGAAATCGTAATATACGAAGCACGTCTGAAGGAAACAGGACCGAGCATTATTCATCTGAAGCACAGCCCAGTAAACATGTCGACGTCGGCCCAACGTCGGTTAACCTCGGCTGGACGTCGGGTACGTCCGCATATACCGACGCCCAGCCGAGGTCCAGCCGACGTCAGGCCGAGATCGTTTGCCGAGAGGTTGAGCGGAGATGACGTCGGGCCGACATCTCCCCGCTGTCAACCCGACGCTCAGCCGACGTGGGACCGACGCCCAGCCGCTGTCAGCCGGACACCCCCCGCTATCACCCCGACGTCTGTCTGCTGTGCTCAGCACTCGCCAAAAGCCATACATTCTAAAAATTAAGAAATGGAGATAGTTACCACCCCGTTTCCTTCATGTCAGACATCTAAACTATTGTATCTGCATTCTGCATAGCATTTGATTCCTTTCGGAATTTGTTTTGATTTGTTAGGTGAGGCCCTTTCGGTATGACAGTACCATTCCAGAGACGGAACTCGGAAGGATGATAGGTATTAGGGGGGGGGGGGGCATTCCACGATAGATCGACCAAAGCCGTACACCCTCATATTTTATTTTTTGCTGAAAATTGGTCTAATGGGTTGTTATGCGCGGGGAAGCCAGCTGTGCCAAGGATTTTTTTCTTCGAAGAGCGGTTTCCGAGCTATAGCCTCAGGCAATTCCTGGAGGTCACGCTGCAACCCTATGTTTGGCGGCTTATAACACAGAAACTATTGGTTTTCTATGGTAAAAACTTATATGGTTCAACTCGCAATCAACCAGCAAACGTTTTGTCTATCTCGGATTTTCGATTTTTGAAAATTTTGGTCACGTGACATCTTGATCTTTTTTTCGAAGAGTGACTTTGATATTTTCCCAACTGAAAGTCACAATTTTGTCTGATGAGGATTAAAGCCTTATCAATTGTCATTCATA